GCCAATTTTGTCTCCTTTGGGACTGGAGCACTAAAAGATCGACCTATAAGACTGAAACACCACTTAAGAGTCCTTCTATCCACTTTGTTTGGACTTGGTTGGTTCCGGTGATGAAAGGATTTACAGGTCCAGTTCCACTTCCAACTTTCCCCCTACTTTCTAGTCTGGGGTGGTGTGCTTCGATTATATATTGCTACCTCGGGTAGGAGTTGCATGGCACCATTAACCTTCTATGCATATTCCAACGATATTCCAAAGTAATCGGCCCCCCTTTTGGTGCTTTTGTTTGCGCCAACGTTAAAAAAAAATCGGGCCTATCAAAAAAAGAGAAAAAAATTTTAACTTTCTTTTCGCCTCTGCCGTTTTCTTTGTTTTCCCGTTTTTTTAAGCGAGATAACCCCTGTCCAATCTCAAACACCGGTGGAATTTGGGCAATATCATACGCGGGACATTGGTTCTCTCATTTCGCAGTCTCTTCGCCCAACCGAGGCACGGACGATTTTAGATTTCGAAAGGCGGTCAAAGAACAAAGTCCGCACATCCCCGCTGGTCGCCGTTAGCGTTGAGAGATGAAGAAATCCAGACAGGGGCTTATACGGACCCAACACACAATTCATTCCATAGTATCCGATTTGTTCCGTACCATATCCCGAAAGTATCGGCCCAACAAACATTCCCATCGTCCAACTGATACTGGAGACTGATATTGCCCTCGAATACCCGCCATTCGGACCGAAGATTCCGGGGTTCCTTCCTTCGATCTCATCAACGGCTTCTGAAAAATCGTTATGATCCACTTCCCAACGTGACGTAAAAAAAATAAGAAAAAACTTACGAGTGGCTTCCATCATACCCACCCCATTGAGTAAGCATATCACAATCCCGATACTTGTGACAGCTATGCTGTATATGATCGAACCAATCCTCTCTTCACTGGCCCAGGGAAACCGTTCGTCCCCAGGAACACCGATCAGCCACATTAAAGGCACCAGAAGGGCAAAACCGATCGTGGTCGGGTATCTAGTCCCCACCCGATCTTTCAGCAAGCCGACAGGAACGCTAAAGAACACCGCAGGGCCCTGGAAAGCCGCAAACAATAATCCAGCGGGGAGGCTGCCCCAATGGAACGCATCGCGCACATGGAGAGGAAGGGTTGTGTCGAAGCTGGCGGTTAAAACGGCGAAGCAGAAATAACTAACCACACCACCAATGAAGCGACCGTTGCTACATAGACATAGATAGAATTGTATACCCGTTTTCTCTGATACAGCTTGACCGCTTGTCTGTTGATCTGGGTCAGTTGATGGTGGCAAAAGTGCCTCCCGCTCGGGATCTTGCCCGGCCCGCTCCGCGCGGACTGGTCCACTTGGGTCACACGACCGTTCTAGCATGAGAAATCGCAGGATCACATCAAACACAATAACGAAAAGCACACTGGACCAAGCCACCCAGTATCCACCTACATCAAACAGAACACCCGCCACAAGTGGTCCGCCCGATGTTCCTACACCAATGGCAATAGTCACGAACCCATACATTTTCCCCAGCTCACCGGGAGGGACATTGTCCGCCAGGGTAGCCAAGCCTACCACCCAGATACAAGTACTTGCAAGAGACTGTACAAGGCGCCCGGTAAAGAGAGTCCATACTGCACTGAAATTAATTATCTCGCTGGAAATGTCCATCCCCGGGTAGTCGGCCGTCACTTACATGAAGTCGCCATGGCGAGTACCAAAGAGCCCAACAATGCACCCGCAAGTCCAAATAACAGCCAGGCACGTTTCGCGCCCGAGCGATCGGCATGATACCCGACCAGGGGGTTTGCCACGACCATCACCAGCGCGGTCTGGGATATCAGCGCTGTGCTTATGCGTTGGGTGAGCGAGGGGTCAAGTCCCAGTCGATGCTCCAGCACGAATGGGAGAAGTGGAACGATAAATCCATACAGATACATATCTATGGGCTGGATTAATATATGTCCTTTTTTAGGCTATATGCCCGAAGAGCCTACCCGTAAGCAAAGCCACTGCCACTGTCGCGACAATGAAGTAAGTGGACGATCGCCATTGGAAACCCCATGGTTCTTGGTGGTCTGATACGGCTCCCATAGTGTCCCAGGTCGTTCCATGAACTGAATGATCGGGTCAGTGAAAAAAAAAAGGGGGAACATTCCTTGTGTTTTACCTAGACCAACTAGTTACTCTCTCTAAAGCTGATCCGCTTACATAATATCTTTATTGAAATCCATGCATTACCCCTGTTGAAGGATTTGACACATTCAGCTGCGTACGTGCATGATTCATCATGCAATTGTCTGACATGATTTGACTAATAACAAGCCGGACTGGGGTGGTAGATGGGCTATCCCTTGTCAAAATTTGCTGGTAGAGCAAGGAGGCTTGCATTATTGAATTGGTGCATTCAAAGAAACTGCGCCACAGCTGAATCAATTAAATAGATCGGCCCCAAAAGAAGAAATCATCAGATCAATCACAATTCAGTTTCAAAGACTGCCAATCAAAAAGCAATATTTTAAATATTGACTATTTTAAGTGTCGATCGCAATTGATATGCAGTACGGGGTACTCCGTACATAGAGATCATCGCATTAATTGGCTAATCAATCGCTGATTCGGCACGACAACACTTTGAAAGCCACTTAATCTACTAAAAACACAGTTCTTAACTTCAAATAACTTCAATCGTGCATCTGGCATTAAAAGATTCGTTGACTCGTGATACATTGCATCATATCACTTAAAACACAAATTCGCCGCTCGCCGAGATCACATTCCCCCAGTCCGCAAAAGGTATCGAAGAAACGGGGTGTATAAAAAAAAAAAAGAAAGATTAACACATATATAATCCATTTACATCAAAGTTTCTTGATGACAAGCCAACGTCCATTCTCCATCCGACCCTTGACTCCAAGTCGTCGAGCCCGAGGCAGTGTATTCTTTCTTTCCGCGCACAGCGCGGATCTTGTATGTGACGACGCCTGCCATCAGATCGACGATAATGACTCGTACCTCCTCAAACTGGTAGGCGTCGAATCGGTGAAAGGGTGGCCGGACGGCTTTCTTGAAAGCATCTTCGTCCTCGAGTGTGATGATGCGCATCTCAGGGAATAGGAAACAAGCTTCCGGGTTGCTGAGTTTCCAGATGGCGGGTGCTGGATCAGCGGATGTGAGGGCTGTCCAGAGTGCACGTTCTTTGTTGAGGAGGTCCTCGCGGATACGTTCGTGCATTGAAGGCATGGTGGGTGGTTATGGGTTGTGTATGACTTGGACTGGTGGGGTGTTAGAGGAAACACGCTGTTTAGACTATGCGATGCGAATGCGAATGCCAATGTGATGGTATAAGACAAACTAGAAGCCAGAGAGATGGAATGATTTTGAGTGTCCCTGGCCTTGATTTTATTGTTTTGCCATGCTGGTACCTTATATTAAAATGACGTCAGATGACGTTGAGAACCAAACAATTTAATCTCCGGGGATCAGCGTATGTGCCATTTGGTGTTTGCCATTTATGTTGTAGATTCGAAGGACTGTAAATAGCACTAGGGATATGCTTGACATGCGTCATGCCTCCACGTTTCAACGTCCGGCAGTCAGTGGCTTGAGATGCTATCACTGGGCTTCATGGGGCACCCACCTACACGCGTTCGTCCATGGAATGACATTTAGATTTTTTTACTAGATTGGTGCTCATCACCAATAAGATGAAATTCTTTTATTATTATTCAAGGCGACTCTTGCTGTGATACTTGGACGCTAACACGTTATACATGTACCTAGTATATGTACCGGATTTTCCCTGGCGGGTGGGGCTTTCCTATTTGATCTGCCGCCGCTTCTATGAGGGTACTCAGGCTCAAGCTCACTGAGTAGATGTCAGCACGGACTCAGATTAGTGATTATGCTCAGTTCAGTCACGTGTAGAACGATTGATGCTTAGTGAGCGCCCAGTGAGTCCATGGGTGCTCACGAGGACGAATATGGGCGACCCAATCCCAGCATTGAGGTATGTCAAATCTCAGTTGATAATATATACCGCCATATTACTGTTATATATGCAACAGGACTCTTCTTTCCAAGTCCAATAGGCTAACTTGAGATTCGGACGGTGCAGTGGTGCCCCTGCCCTTGGCTAAGGAAAGCGGAGGGGCCGCGAGGGATCGGATTGGTCAACCACAGATCCCGTAGGTATATTGTATGCTTGATATACCTCTGGTTGTACTAAAGGTAGTCGCACTAATCAGCCAGGTCTAGACCTCCGCAGAGCCCATAAAGCCCAAAGCCCAACCCAACCCAACCCGCAAATGGGTTGGGTTTTGGGCCTGGTCCTTTCCACCGATGGGCTATAGGCTTATACCTCGAGCCCACTATAGGTTAATAGGGGCCCAAATAAGCCCTAAACAATATAAACATGCCGAGAATTTAGATACTAAGATAAGTTGAACCCCCCTCTTAGGATTAATTAAATTACCTCTATTTTACGTCTATTTCTTACCCTAATCCCTAAGGTAATATTTTATTAAATCTAATGATTAAGAATTAGTTACTAGTATTCTCTCTATATCACGTAAAAAGATACGATAGTAGGCATTAATTAAGAAATTTTTCAAAACTATAGAGGTTTACTAAAAAGTAGTAGTACTTCCCTATAAAACCTAGATATATATCTAATATTAAAATATCAATATTCACCTTTTCGGTTATATCTCGACCCCTACCGATTGGTAGAAGGTTGTAATATAACGATTATAGAGTCCGCTTTATCATCGCCTACATGGGTTTTTATAGGGGCCCACAGCCCAACCTACGGTGGGCTGCGGGTTGGGTTGGGCATTAAAGGTTGAGCCCATAGCCTACCGTCGTGGGCCTAGGGTCCGGGCCCATTTATGGGATTTGCGAAGGTCTAGACCCATCCGTTAGGACTAAGGTCGACACTTGTCTTATGAGCCAGACTCCAACCAACGGCACCGAGCCTGGGATCCTCTATGAACCCGGGATAGGCCTCTGAAGGAATTTCCTCCTCCAAAACTCTAGAAAGTTCTGGATCTCCTGCAGCTCGTCCAATCATACCCTTCTGTGCCCAAATAACCGCTGTACGCTTCGCAAGGGGTCGTCCCCCATTTTCAAGTGGCGGAGCGTTGTACGCAGCAACAGCAGCAAACAGCGCTTGCAAGTGACGATTAGTGTTGTCTGTCATACTCCAGACTCCACTTTCATCTTGTTGGGAGATGACGTCGAACATTGCCAGGCCGAGGTCAGTTTTGACAGGAACATTCTCTGTGCAATGGGAGCACATGTTGACGAGCAAGAGGTCATCAACCGCGTATCCAGCAGCGTATAGTTGGCGGCATACCTTGTAAGAAAACCCATGGGACGGACAATTTCGAGAGTATTTGGGAGACAACCACAGAGGCAATTTGGTCAGCTTCTAGTAAACGTGATTGCTCTTCGGTCTCTTGGATGGCCAGGGTTCACTGGGCGCCGCCGTCTTCTTCATGTCCGTCCTCTGCGCTTTAAAGGTCCTTCTTGCGCCTAGGCATCGAGATATCAATCGCATAGAGATGTGCTTGAAATCAGTTTCACGACTTTTTCCCCTCTGATTCTTTCCCGAACTCTATCATGAAACACGCTAGTCCATCTTTAATTTAGCCCGTTGCAAGATCTCGAATTGTCTTGTAACAGGTAATCAAGTCATCTGTGGCTCCGTAATTTTTTGGAAATGAGAACATGATTAATACTCTATAGTTCATCTCGAGATTCTCCAGCACTCCAACGAGAGCGTTCCTTTCCACTGGAGGCTAATAATGATGAACTAAAACATGGAGCTAGATTTTCGCATTGACTTCTAATTATTGCAAGCAGACAAATATCCTGCCTCTCTAGGTGGATACGGAGTCTTTAGGTTATAACGATTGGTTCCCTGTGTAGCTCTGTTTCATGAACCACGTGACGGTGGGCATATTAGCAGTCTGGAGACCGAACCGTGGGCTGACTACCCTTTGCAAAAACAAACCGCCTGGCTGTAATCATGGCATCTCGTATATTATTTGACAGTCTGAACTCTGGATTCCAAATGGGCCAGAACTATGGTCATGTCACTGCTCTATTCCGTAAGTGGAGAAATGTAGGTAACTCCGATAAGACCCGGCTGATTGGTGCGACTACCTTTAGTACAACCAGAGGTATATCAAGCATACCTACGGGATCTGTGGTTGACCAATACTCACTATGACGTCAACGCTACCGACGAATATGGGATGACACCCCTCAGATGGGCCTCAGGGGGTGGCCACGAGGTGGTAGCGAGGCTTCTTATCGACAAAGGGGCAGACGTCAACGTTACCGACGAAGATGGAATGACACCACTCAGATGGGCCTCGGGGGATGGCCACGAGGCGGTAGTGAGGCTTCTTATCGACAAAGGGGCAGATGTCAACGCTACCGATAAACACGGAATGACACCCCTCAGATGGGCCTCAGGGGATGGCCACGAGGCGGTAGTGAGGCTCCTTATCGACAAAGGGGCAGACGTCAACGCTACCGATAAACATGGAATGACACCACTCAGATGGGCCTCGGGGGATGGCCACGAGGCGGTAGTGAGGCTTCTTATCGACAAAGGGGCAGACGTCAACGCTACCGACGAAGATGGAATGACACCACTCAGATGGGCCTCGGGGGATGGCCACGAGGCGGTAGTGAGGCTTCTTATCGACAAAGGGGCAGACGTCAACGCTACCGATAAACATGGAATGACACCACTCAGATGGGCCTCGGGGGATGGCCACGAGGCTGTAGTGAGGCTCCTTATCGAAAAGGGAGCGCGAGATAGACCCGGGCATTCAACCTATTAAACAAATGTCTGCCCGGTCACTATTATCTACCCTATCCTCAGAGCATGTGGTTGTTGCACCCTCAAGCCCCTGGCTCCTATGCTCTAACCACAAGTCTTGTTTACCTTAATGATGGCGGGGGACATTATTGGATGGCAGGCGAGATCTAGCACTGCCGAATAACTACATGTTCATGTGTATATCGTGCCAGAATGCTCCTGCACTACGCTACCTTGGTCGTTTGTGATGCGGTGAATTCCTGCTACGTATCATTTATACAATGATCTTGCGCGATTTTTATTTTTTAAGCCTATTGAGATCTTACTGGTGTGAGTTAGAATGTTTAACGTGGTGGGAAAGGATGGATTGATAACCTGATTGCGGTGTGTGACCGTAGTATTCTGGATTGGGAGTAAATTGTGAATCCTGGACAAAGTGGTCAGGCTCCCACGCTTGAGAATTATTACGACTGTAGGATGAGTCGTTTATCATCGTCCTCAGATTCTGATAAATTCATGATGGAAGGGAGTGGGAGGAAGGAGAAACTGAACTGATCTATAATCTCTGAAGGAACAAAAGCTATCTATCTATAGCTAGGGGAGCCATGGCAAACATGCATAGGGCACAAAGAACAGGCAGAACCATGTCAAACAATTCAAGATCAGCACACTTTGTTCCAGGAATGTCGCCGGATATCGAATGTCCAGGGTACGGAGGATAGCACCTTGGAAATCATGTCCGTATGCATCCCTAAAATGCCTAATTTTTCCCCCCAAAACTATAATAGAGGCAAAGAGAATTTGATCCATTCTGGTTCAGACCTATTATATTGAATAACGTTGTCCTTAGTGGACCAAGTATTAGTGGTGGAGATAGCGGCGGGATTAACAGACTCGGTGGTTCGCGGTTCTATAACAGACGGAGTTGACGGCGGAAAACATATTGATTGTTGGCTATTTAAACGTCAGTTTCGCACTCTTTTTACCATTATACTATCATAACAGACATTTTATTTGCTTTATCCCTCTTCGTCAACAGTCACATCGAGTGTTTGCCCAGCTTGAAGCCAAGAAATGGCAACCTTGAGTAAACTACCCTTGCGCCAGCTAGGTCGCAATGGACCCCTTGTCCCTCGACTGGGCTTGGGATTGATGAGTGCGAGCGGAATTTACAATGCGCCCCTATCGGAGGCTGATCATCTCGCTTTCATCGATGATGCCTATAACCGAGGAGAAACGTTCTGGGACACTGGTAGGTAGATTCATACAAAGAGAATGATTATAATGCTGATGGCCTCCCCTACAGCTGATAAATACGGCACATCAGAGGACGTGTTGGGCAAATGGTTCTCCGCCAACCCCAACAAGCGCGAAGACATCTTCTTGTCCAGCAAGTTCGGCATGATATTATCAACAGGGACATTCAAGATCGATTCCACCCCTGAGTACTGCCGGAAAGCTATTGAATCCTCCCTCCGCCGTCTCAATGTACCCTACCTCGATATTTACTACATCCACCGTCTGGACAAGGTCACCCCGGTCGAAAAGACCATGGAAGCCATGGTCGAGCTCAAGAACGCAGGAAAAATCAAACACATAGGCTTGAGCGAATGCAGCGCTGAGTCCCTCCGACGCGCACATGCAGTCCACCCCATCACGGCCGTCCAGGTCGAATACAGCCTTTTCTGTCGCGCCATCGAGTCGCCACAGTTTCGTCTTCTCGAGACTGCCCGTGAACTAGGCGTCGCCATTGTATGCTACAGCCCTCTTGGCAACGGCTTTCTCACCAATACCATTCGCACGAAGGGGGATGTCAAGCCGGGGGATGCCCGGGCGCGTCTTCCTTGGCTGACGGAGGAGAATTTGGAACATAATGTGGCTGTCGTCGACAAGATTGCGAAAATCGCTGCGTCCAAGGGTGTTTCATCCGCGCAGCTGGCTTTGGCATGGTTACTTGCCCAGGGAGATGACATCTTTCCAATTCCTGGAACAACCAAGACACACCGGCTGGTTGAGAATCTGGAGAGTATGCAGGTTTCCTTGTCGGCCGACGAGGAAAAGGAATTACGGGAGATAGCGGATGGAATTGTGGGTGCGCGATTCCAGGAAATGACTGGCTATGCTTTTGCAGACACCCCCGCGCTGTAATATGTATGTTCTGAGTGATTTGGGTCGCTGTAATCACAACGGTTCAACGTCTCGGTACGGCATTCTTGGGTATCATGCTAAGACACGTGCATAAATGCCTTGTTGGTCGGGCTTCCGCAGGCTATTTAGCTAGCCTCGGGTTGTTTGTAGAGAAAAACACATTCTTCTCATTCTCTTGTAAATCTCATATAGATCAATCAGATTTTGCGGCAGTGATTCTCACATTCCAAATTCGTGGTCGTAATTCGGGGGGATTGGAGACATTTCATGTGAGACATGGAACCTGCCAAAATACGGCAACGGAAAGCTCATCCTCTGATCTTCGATGATGGCCTGAGTGTCAATGTTCTCGGGGGTTTCGGGGGTTTCGGGGATTTCGGGCTCCAGCCATGTAAGATATTCGGCTCCGTGCGCTGCATACTCCTCCATGCGCACCAATGCAGATAGTATTTTCGCATAGGACTGGGTCGGGCTATCTTTATGGATGCCAGAAATCTCCTCCATAACATGAATCACATCATCGATGACTGCCAAGTCTCTAGGACGCTGGTGCTCTAACACATTTTCTGTCTTGAGGCGATGTCCATCTATGTGTATTAGAAGGAGACAAAATGCAGAAGAAAAAGCCTTCTCCATGAAGCCACGGTATGGAATCTGCTGGAGGGCGTTACGGAACATGCCAAAGTGAGCAAGGACTTCGCGACTTGCGCAGAGAACGGCCATTTTGCTGTACATGTGGTTGGGCGACGGACGGGCCACTATTTGACGATGAGCTGTTGATTCTAAGCGCATATGCTCTAGGAGATACGGCTGATGAAGGGAGACCACCAGATAGAACTGATGTATCTGTGTCAGGACCCGAGTAAACTGTTCCGGCGAGTTCACATCTAGCATAACATTGTCTAGCGGCGGTGAAACCCACCAACGCACAGGGGGTATGCGACTGGCTTTTTTGAGCTGAAGATCGATATCCTGTGTCTCTTGGTATTCATTGATGGGGTTTTCCTGTAACTCATGTTGGCGTCCATGGCGCTTCTGCATGCGGAGATTCCTAGCAATGATCCTGCCTGCAACCACAACATGAATGCGCTCCAACTGATCAGACCACTGGTCAGCCACAATCTGCCGTGTACGGGTGAGCTGGCAGTCCGCGTCGACAAAAGGAAGTCCCAACATAAGGGATAGAAAACGATCACTGTAGGCTAAACGGAACCATATGGATTCCGCACGGTTGTTAGCCTCATGCTTCCGACATGGGAGGCCTAGCAAGCTGGCGATGCCTAAGGCGCGACGGAAGAGAAGCCAGGCATTCCGGAGACTACCGACGTGAAGATGAAAGTGGGCCTCTAAGATAAGAGTCTCTAAGCCATCGAGAGAGTTGACGAGTAAGTCCTGGGAGGTGATATAGCGAGACGCGACGCCGATAAAATAATGTGCCATCTGCTGACTCGGCTGGTCAAACCGGAGGTCTAGCACATTCTGCGTCGGCTGTTGTAAACATAGGGCAAGTTGGATGATTCTCTGTGCAAGGTGCACTGGCTGATCGGAGTCCGATGGGGATCGGTGGTCAACTTGGGTAGATGTAGTTGAGGAGACTAACGAATAAAATGGTCGAACACGGAGCGGGCTGCGATCCAGAATTTGCTTAAGAATGACAGCAGATGGAAGTAAGGACTGAACATGGCTTAGGGAGCCTCTCTCGGGAGTGACATTGTTTGGTTTGTGAAAATGTATCGCACTGGAGTCTACGGTATCGATAAACAAATCTTTGTTCACCTGCTGGCTAACTGGTGGCGTTTGGGATGGTGAAAGGGCCCCTCGGTGCTGTACGAGCTTCGCCACTAGACTCTCAACGTGGTCAAGGCGCTGTTCGACGGCTTGATAGCCTATGCCTTGGGGGTTAGGGCACTCCTGGCTGATGCACCAGGTTCCCTTGCGCTGGCAAAATGCACATATTGTTGCTGATGACGTGGTGAACTGGCATCGGATCTTACGGTTCTTACATTCCCAGCAGCTGAAAGTGCCCTTCCGGATCTTTCGGCGCTTCTGTGCCGGTTCGAGAGAGGAGGATAGAGAGCTCATGATGGTATAGTTATCTCATATGTAAGGTTATTGAGAAAGCTGTCTGGGTACATATGGGTTTCTCGATGATAGGGGGCTAAAGAGGGAGGTGGAGGTGCCGCATCAATGGAAATGATTGGTTGATGTTGCCCAGATGTCCTTTGTCCTTTGACCGATTCTGACTAATTTGATCCAGTGCCCCGGTGTAATAAATGGTAAATAGTAAACAATGTTTTTTTTTAGATTTATACGAACACGTTGTACAAGAATTTTGCTATTTACAATCTTGGATACCTCCCCAATTTCATTTGGCAGGCCACAAGGGCTCAGAAAATGGGCCGAAAGTATTTGACCACATACACGCCACATCCGGACTAGGTCACTTTCAAAGGAAACATGTTGGAAAAATACGGCGTATTTTACCACTGGAACCCAAAAACTAAGATTCCTGTTTAGGGCCTAGGGCCATATCCCAGTCTGGCAAAACCGAAAAATAAAGCCCCAGATCTTCCACGTGTGCAGCGGAGATTCATACAAGGTACGAGTTTCTATTCTCTAGCCCGATTTGGCAAAAACATAACGGCTGCATGATTCGAATGCGCCCGCGATCGGATTTGATTTCTAATCAAGCGCCTTTGATCTCTCGACCAAACCGTAATTGATCTCTTTGGTTTCCAGATTTGCTATTATAAAGCATGTGACATGTCATATAGCAATTTTTGGGTTGGGGCTATAACATTGCTATCGATGTCAATCCGCATTGCATAGACTGTTTGCCATGGCGTGCTTCTTACTCTCCGTGGCGTTCTGAGA